GGGATTTGAGTTATTTTGTGGCAACTTTTAATATTGAACGCTGGACATTTTTTGAAAACAAATTTGTAAGAACCTTTACGTGAGTCACGAGTAAAAGGATGATGCTTTTAAAATACTGTATTCCAGAACGAGTGCAGTGTTGTATATTAAATGATCCCTTATGTTACGTCATAGTCATTAACATATTGGGAATAAAAACCTTCGTATCTTAAAGACCCGACATTCAAATGACGAAATATTTTCACAATCAACTATTCACTATCTAAAGTGTCAATTCTGAAAATATTGTGTAAAGGCTTATAAGCACTTTAATGTTACAATAATAACCCATGTAAACTAAGATCAACTGCGATCCGGTGTGAAAATTATCTGCTGAAAGTTCACTTGTAAGTTTGTTTGTCCGAATTTCGCCTTTGTCTTCGTTTTTATGACGTCACGGTTGCGCTGCGCTATTGAGAAAACATTGCGCACTAGGTAAAAAGGTATATTGGATATAAGATAACTGTTATAAATCTCGCGTTCTGATTGGCTGGGAGCGCGTGCTTTATGAGGGCACACCGATCGCGCTCACTTTAAGTTGCGTCATTTCTATCTAAAATAACAATTATTGTAATTTGTATTTTATAAAATAAATAAAAAAAACTTGCTTGCTGGGATGTGTGGAGTCATGAAGCACTTGGGAATTGACAGAACACTGGAAAAGTATTGAGAAGCACTCCACTAAGTGCCATACTTTAATTGTTCAATCTTCTGAGCAATTCCCACGTGCTTTATAACTGTACAAAGCACGCGCGCGCGTTTTCTATTCTCCAGTAGTAGAACACATTAACTAACTTAACGTTTTTAACGTTTTCTTTTTTTTTTTTTTTTTTTTTTACTCCGACGAAGGACTAGCGTCCGAAACGTCAGTACGTTTTTTCATCTTTTAACGGTGTATAATTTACCTTTTCATCATTACTGTTTCATTAGAAACACCGACGCAGCTCACACTAGTTTTTAGCTAGTTATATCTTTTAACTTATTTCATCTTAGGTAACGGATTCAATGCAAGCATCAGGAGTTCATTCGGAGAAAGACAAATCGAGGTACCAAACACCGTAAAATGGTTTATCCCAAAAGAACAAATCCTTTACTCCTCGAAAATTGAGATTTYACAACTTAGACTAAGTTCAAACGTCGAGCATCACATGAGACGCACTGAAAACAATGTATAACAAGGCGATCGTCTTTTATGTCATTAGGGTCGGCTCATGTGGAGTTCAACGTTTGACCTTAGTTTTAGAGTCCTTCTCATTCCTCCTCGAAAACACGCGGAGTCGAAAGAGTTTTCCATCTTGGCTAACTAGGTTTTCATGGACGTCAATCAAAATGACCAGGGTAAAATACCATCTAGACCTCACTCGGCACCATCTCACACAGCACCATCTCACTCACCACCAACTCACCACCATCTCACTCACCACCATCTCACCACCATCTCACTCGCCACCATCTCTCTCACCACCATCTCTCTCACCACCATCTCACTCACCACCATCTCACTCACCACCAACTCACCACCATCTCACTCACCACCATCTCACTCAGCACCATCTCAATCACCACCATCTCACTCACCACCATCTCACTCACCACCATCTCACTCACCACTATCTCACTCACCACCATCTCACTCACCACTACCTCTCCTGTCTGGGGCTCGGATTTTTTTCCAAGAAAAATTACCTTGTAGAAACATACATCACATATTTAATAACTTACCAAGCACGAAAAACGTCTACCAATTCCTCGTTTTTCCTCACAACGACGCCGATTACTTAATTAAGAAATCTTCCCTTAAGAGGAATCTTGCATGGACCCTAAACTATATGCAATGACTTCTGTCTTAGAAGGTTTCACTTTTACCATTCCAGGACTTATTGTTACCATACTTCTGTATAACTACCGATATCACCTCATCTAGAATGAGAGTACACACCGATGGTACGTACATACTAACAACTT